TATATACATATATACATACACATATATACATATACATGTATATACATATATATGCATATATATACGTATATATATACATACATATGTATACATGTATGTATATACATGTACATATATATATGTCTATATATATATATATGTATATATATATATATATATATATATATTTATGTTGTCAGCTTTTTCGTAGTATCCACGAGCTGTGCTTCCGTGTTAGACTCAGTTCTCTAGGCAAGCAATTGGCATGAGAAAACAGTTGCTTGGCGGCTTTAACATTTGTTTTTTATAGGGCGCAACATTTGTTTTAATTTCCCTTGATTTTTATTTATATTGAACGAAATTTCTTATGCACTCTGGGACAGCTTTTTCTTTTCAGTTTACCATCACATGCAGGCCATACAACGGCATCGAGTAGCAGTACAAGTGCAGTACCGCGACAGCGAGAAGAGCAGCTACCGAAACGTGATAGTAGCAGTTATAGTAGTGGTAACAGACCGGCACGTGATGAAAGCGCGATGCCACGGCGTGATGACTCGACAGCAACGAGAAGGGCCCGTCAGGCGCCGCCGACAAATTCGCTTTTGCCCACACCTTCTTCAGCAAGTTCCAGTGGAGCGATGAGTGGAAATCCTCAGAGTTCGAAGTTCGTTTCATCCTCTATTTTCTAGAGTGATCTGTGATCAGTGAACTGTGAGTTATGGCTTGATATGTTTGGCCGCGGTGAAGCGATAAACGGAGAAAAAAGATTTATAATAGCATCAGTAAATGTTTCGGCTGAATTATTCGGGTTTGCTTTTCAGGTTCATCCCATCACAGTCAAGTCGCGCAGCCTCCTATGTCAGCGACAGCACGCATCGAGCAGGCAGCACTTGGTCCGCATCAAATGACCATCACAGCGGTTCAGCTTCAGCTGTGTCGGCAGCGCGTTTCCCGCAACCATCTGGATCATCTAGCCGAAGCCATCAGGACAGAGTAAGTTTTTTTATAATTTCACTTTGAAACTTTTGTTTTTTGATAAAGCATCCTTTAACCGATACGTTTTTGTGCGTTTTTGCATCTGTGCAATGCAGAAAACGGATATTGGTGAGTGGTTATCTGTGTGTGTGTGTGTTTGTGTGTGTGTGTGTATGTTTGTGTACGTGTGTGTGTATGTGTGCGTATGTGTGCGTCTCTGTGTCTGTGTGTGCGTCTGTATTAACTTTCATCTCAAGACCTATAAAAGCTACAGAACTGAAACTTTGAGAGCTTAATCCACATGCACGTACGGGCCCCAATCCCCAAAGTGGGCGCTCTTACCCACGTTGTGCCCACGTACGGGTCCGCGAAAGTTTTTTCGGGTAAGTTGCTAACTCGGGAACCTTAGAACTTGGAGAATTGGAATTTTAAGGGAACGTTCTCAACCGAGTAGGTATTAACGATCTCAAACCCAACTCCCAAGAATACATGGTTCATATGTACGGGCCCGTGAATTTTTCGCAGATAAGTTGCTAACTTGGGAAACAAGAAATCCAGAAAGCTGAAATTTTAAGGGGATGGCCGGTTTTAATTCGTTTAGCTAAAAGCATCTGCAGGAAAAACCGGCGCCGTTAGCAACAAAAACCCGCGAGGAATTGTGCAAAAGACGCATCTCGGCCATTTATTAAACATTTATTTATCATCCAATATTACCGGTCTATTTTTATCATATTGCTTACATTTGCCGTAGCATGAGTTTCTATAATTGTCTGCGCTCTCTCCAGTACACGTTCTAATTCATCTTGCTATTGCATTTCACTATGATAAATTCGGCCGAAATTGAACTCGATAGAAAGGCTTGTGGTACATTTCTCATTTTGATCCCAGATTTCTTCCCATATTTTGAATGGAAAACTGTTCTTTCCCTCGTTTTTTAGGGACTTTTTTTTTGAAGCAGATTTTCCAAAATATAGTTTAGATTTTTCCACATGTAGTCTTCAAAAGAGAGAAATGTTGACAGTATTGTCAGCAGTTATGGTTTTTGCTGAGGCATAATCATTAGGTTTACCGATGATGCATTCTTGCTCTTCGGTGATGTTCAGTTTCAGTGCGCAATTGGTGTATTTGTAGTGCACAAAATAACTGGCTATAAAATGAGCATGCATGGCTAAATGTAGAATTTTGAGATATAAACTGGTATGGTAGTCCCAGCTTACCTGAAATTGACACAGGTTAAATCTGGTGAAATCATGAAGACTGCGAGAGCTGCTAATTTAAAGCTTCTGTATGTGATGTTACTAGTATTAAAGCTTCTGTATGTGATGTTACTTGTATTAAGTAAGCTTCACTGTAACTGTGTTGCAGCCATTCTTATTATTGCTGAGAAGGCTTCGAAAATTCTTAGTATGAGTACAGTTGAAAATTTTTCAGCATTATTCATCAGCATCATCATCAAGCATGGGTCGGACGAAATCACGTGAGCCGTTACTGAGCACACCAGAAACCAGTAGCTCATCATACTACAAACGTTCTCGTCCACGTCCACCATCACCAAATTCAACTGCTTCGTCAGCTAGCTCGCATCGTCCGTCATCATCATCACATCGACCTCCATCCCCTGGGAATCGGCACAGCTCCGCTCATCCGAGTAAATCGTTTTTTAAGCATTCTGATAAATTAGTCTCCTCCAGCACGTGAAGGTATTTTAAATCTCTTAAAAACATGTTTTTTTTATCTTTTCGAAAAATTTTTCCGGTTTTCGTCAAATATATGCAAAATTAGTTGTTTCTTATAAGACTATTTCATTTTTATACACATTTGCTGTGTGTAGCTATAGCGATGCTGGAGCAGGCAAAAACGCAAATTGTCGAGTGGTCGTCCGTGTGTGTGTTTTTGGGATTCAATGAACTTTGTCACCTACTTTCAACTCAGAAACCAGGAAAGTTGGGAAGCTGAAATTTTGGAGACATATTTCCATTCCATGCGTTGTCCTGCCTTTTTAAAAACTTCGCTCATAAGCGCCTAATTCTTGCTCAGGACCCCCAGAAAAATATGCAAATTTCTCTGGCTGGAGGCGACTTCATAATCCAGACATGAGACTTTGCGGAATTATTCTGTGCGCATATGTGAGCTAATGATTTCAAATTCAGCTATCGCACGCGCTTATATGGCGTGTATGGTCACATCAAGTTTCGCAGTTGGCATTGTGCTAACTTGAAAACCAGCCGGAAAACTGTAGCTGAAATTTTGTCAGAATATTTGTTGTGCATATGGAAAATCGTACATCTAAATTGAGTTTCGATTTGCACCTGCACCATGACTCAGGACACTTTAAAGATGTTTGTAACGATGTGGCTATTGCGCTTACCAGAGTAGCCTCAAAACTGAACTGCAAGGTTATTCTATATTCACGTATTCCCTTAGTTCAGCTTGGCAGTAAAATTCCGTGCACGCGTACATGACAGATACATTTTATCACAAACTCAAACACGAGTGTATTTTGCGGGTTCCTTAATCCTTTTCTTTCAAGTTTGCATTTTTCCAATGAACGAGCATTCACCGAAAAAACGACCAGCCCTTATACTAAATTGATAGTCATGTCTGCTGGAAGTCCACGCAGCCCCGTAATGCAATACCTCCGTCCTAGCCTCTTTCCCATCAGCGTGCGGGCAGAGGCCAAAAGCACAGCCAATATGAGTCCAAGCACTAAACTACAATGCAGGAACCATTCTTGCTGTTAGCAGTCTGCAAGTTTAGCGCAAAAACGCATGATCGCACCGGAAGCCTGGTTTGCTTCAGCCCGGGTTTAATTTTGTTTGTAACTGTTCCAGTTTCTGCAGGCTTCTGTGAAAATTCCCGCTGAATGCGGCTGAATCAGCTGTGGTAATGGTGTTGGTAGTGGTAGTATACTATCATTGTTATTGTGATTTGTCCACTTACGTTTGTCGTGCTTTTTTTTGCAGTTTCTTCTCTCTTTCACTTTTTTTGCAGTTCCTCCTCACTTTTTACCTTTTTTTTAAACAGTTGCTTGCTAACTCCTTATGAACTTTTTGCATTTACTGTTGCAATTTTTAAATAGTTTCAAATAACCGTACAGAAAACACTATATGCACTGAACACATGAGATGTGCCTTCACTAGCTTTCAGCCTACAAATAAAAAGAGATATTTTTTCTGCGCAAGAGTGAAAATCCTGATTATGACGAGGGTAGGTGTAAACACTGATGAACGGCCCGGTCAGAAATTAAAATCCCTTTCACATCTCGTTTCAAACGGGAGGCAGAGGCTTTTGCAGGACACCTGCTTCCGATGACCAATTCTATCTGTACATATTCTCCTAACTGCGTCAGCACCAGTTTGTTACTGAATCTAACGAAGAGATTTTAGAGGGATTATTTTTGGCAATTACAAAAACTCGGCTCGGCTAGTGATCTGTGATGCTTTGGCCTTCCAGCTCTTTGCTCTATCATTTCTGCCAACGCTATTTCGTGGTACCGCTCGCTGGAACTTTGCCATGGAGGGTGTTTTGTTGGTAGTTGCCTAGATACAGCTCAGAGGACGCTGTTGAGCTAGGACAATAGGGCGGAATGAAGTTGACAGAATTCACTGAAACTTATGCTTAGTTGAAGCTGAGAGCAAAAAAGTCCAATTGGATTACACAAGAATTGCAGACAATTCCAAAATGTTGCTTCTTGCAACCTGCAACTGTGCACAACAGTTATACCTTTGTTTTTTGTCTCCAAAATCTCACAAGAGCAAAGGCTGACTTCATCCCCATCCATCCATTCTACCCTGTTTTTGCCCGTTGCATGAAACTTATTCGCTCTCAGCTTTACCTAAGCATTAGTTTCATAAATAGAGAAGCCTAATGACGGGTTTTTGTGGAACGGCAACAGCCTTTCCTAAACATCAGTTTCATAAATAGGGAAGCCTAATGACGGGTTTTTGTGGAATAGCTTTACCTAAGCGTCAGTTTCATAAAAAGGGAAGTTCTAGGAGCACACTTCCTCATCTTTTCCCTTCTTCGCCGTTCCCCTCTACCCTCAAATGTATGTTACTTAGTCAATCGGCAAAGGATCTACGCCATTTATTTCTTATATCTACCTTTCCTAGCCTCTCTCCTCTGCCTCAAACGAAACTCGTTACATACCACCCCCCACTTTCACGTGCCACATTCAAAATGCCGCCATCCGCCGTGGGACAGCCCTACCTGCCGCCGAGAAAAAAAATTTTTTGCAGCTCGTTTTTGAAACGAGCGGAGCCGAGCCAAGCCGTGCGAGCCGAGTTTTTGTAATTGCTTATTTTTTTATCGGTGTCATATCCCCCTCTTTCAGCGGGTAGTATCTTCTAAAAGTTTCAAAGTAAATTGTGTGCAGGTGGGCCTGATAAAGCCCGTGGCCGCATTTTAGTAGCGTTAGAGGTTTAGTATTTGTAACTGCGGTAACGATGGCTTTTTTCAAAAAACGTGTTATATACCTAACCTGCTACAAAACTTCGAGTGGAGGTGATTGCCCAGAGACAAACCACGTGTTATTGAGTGGCACGTAAAGCACCGGAAACAGGCATTCATGTGATCTCGGAAGGGATTATGACCCGTCTTACCTTATAAAAGTAGTGGATACCAGCCTGTCAGTATGTTGCTCGAAACCGGAAAACCCGGAGTCCAGGCCGAGCTCAGCGGGTCTCAGTATTGTCGAAGCCTCAAACCGGTACTTCCAGCATTCGTGATTATGAGAGCGACTTTCAGCAATCCTCGCTGCACTCCTTCGACGTGTTCACGTTTGGGAGCAGTTTCACTAACACATATGATCACTGTGCATTTGCTTGGTGTGGCTTCTTTCACTGCATGCTTTTCTCCTCTGTGCATGTGAATTCAGGTCTTTCACGGTGCCGGTATTCATGTTCAGAAACACGACGACGAATTCGTTCACATTCCGAGTCACGTTGCCGTGAGCAGAGACACCTACGCTCCAGCAAAACGAGATGCTTGTCACCGCACTGTTCGCAAAAACGACCTTTTGCTGCTGTTTGGAAAGCCTCATCACCACACACTAGATAATCCTTTCTCACAGGCTTCTTCCTCTTTGTGGGATTTTTTTATTATGGGTACTAATATGTGGGTACGTTTTTTGCACAGATTTTCTGAGTGCATCCAGTGCGTTTTACTGAAAAAAAAAAAGCAATTTATCTGATATTGAAGATTGGTAAAATGAAGTAACTAGCCAGGCAGAAGAGTGAGAGCTATGTTTTGCACTTCTCTGGAGGACCAGTGTGTCACCGCAGCCTACATTTTCGTCCGTACTAATCACAGAAATAAGCGGCTACTGGACAGTCTTCCAAGAGGAAGCACGCACAAAGCATCAGAAGGCAGAGGATTTTCAAAACTAAAAGTTCGTATGCACCCGAGCCACTGCTTAAAGCCGCACACCAGTAGTATCGAAGTTCGGAACCACTAATCAGTTGTGGGAAATGTTTTCACTGATTCTCCCATACTTAGCAGCGAAACCTAAAATGTCCGCGCACAATCGTCAACTAACCGGATCTCAAAGGGGCAGGATGGCGCCGATTTCAAAGAATTTTGGTTGTCTTTAATTGCAAATGGCCAAATTTTTGAAGAGAAATACACATACCTCGGCATTTTCACTTTTTGTGGCATGTTACATGAAATAATTATCCGGTATCATTGCATATTTCAGGTGGCACAGCGCGACTTCTTACCACATTACCGCCACCTCCTCCTCCGCCCTCTAACGAAGAGCTTGAAGATGGCGAACTCTTGTAATGGTTCGGTTTTGCTTTATTGTTATAATTGGCCCTAACGACTTTCGAGAAGATAGCTTGCGTTTGTTGTAGAAACATCGAATATGAACTGAGCATATGCAGATTTGGTTAAAAAAAAGCATAAGAATGATTGTTGCTGCATCTCAATAAAGCATTGGGGACTGTCATCCGCATATTCTTGTTGGTTTTGTTGCGTACCACTAAATACTATACTTTTCATTTCCCGCAACCTCTATTCTTAGGAACAAACTTGCAAACTTTTAACACTCAAAACGTTGTTACTGAGTTTTCTTGTACGAAATTAAATGATATGTGATTCTGACTCATAGTTCTGCCATGTATTTTTTCCCTGGTATAATAAAAAATAGTCAAACCTCACATATTCCATTCTCGGTGAGGCGGTAGAGGCTCTCGTTAGGAATATCTCGAGTAATAGCACTTTGTCAAGAAACGACCATCTGCTGGCATGACTGTTACTGGTACTTTGCACCGCGACTGCGTGGAAGCAAGCTCGTGACTGTTTGCATCCCCCTTGACAGTTTTTTGCTTTTTTGGGCCCCAGCTTTTTATCAGGTTTGCTCAGCTTCTCATTATCATGTAATGCAAGCATACTGTTAAGTAAAAATTTTTATGAGATAAGTGGTTACGTGTGTGGATCGCTGTGTAGCGTGGTGCTCTGAGCGTGCGCGCACAGTGTAGAAGCAAAATCAGGTTTATAACTTACCGATAATAAATCGTGCAAACAGCAAATAAACAGCACGAAGTGTGGCGCTTATAATCTATCGAGTATG